CTGTGCAAGTATTGCTTGCCTTGAGCTGTACCTCTTTCTGGAGAAATTTAAAGACACCTCAGAAGATCAGGGCATAGGACATGAAGAGAAAGATTCCATCAAAGCCCAGGACTGAAAAGTCACAAAGAGTTCAGAGAACTTATCAGCGTATGGGTCCTCAGCAGCCACCCTGACCACAACCATCTTCTCATGCATGAGGTGGGAATGATGGCTGTTTTGTACAGTTTTGGCCTCAACTTGATGAGAAGTGGACACCTGATGGTAAGAGTGGCTCCCTTGGTGGCCTCTAGAATAATGTTGACGAGCACATTTTTGTGGGAATGGAGGAGCACCTCAAAAGGCTACAGAAGACCAAGTTACAGTCAATGGTCAATGGCCATGGCCAAGAGAATGCTAGATTCCTGGCATTAGAAAGTGCAGGAAAAGTACAGTTCGGGTAGGTAAGCATCAAGGTATATCTTTCTGAGCCTGTAGACAGAAAATAACCAGGATTTTAGGAGTGATGCAAATAGCTAGGTGCAAATTTGCAATGGCCAAGATGGTCAAGATGGCTTCTTGGAGGCTAAGCTTAGCATGGAAGACAATGGTTAAAAGGCCATTACCAATCATTGCCAGGAGGAAAAAAAAATGAAAAAGAGAATACCAATCTAATGCTGTACTAACTTCAGGGCAGGCATTCCATCTAGTGTAAAGGTGGATGGATTGATGAAGGTCCTGTTGGTAGAAAACATGACAGGTCAAAAAGAGCCTGGTCCTTCAAAATGTCTTTGAAATTCCACACAGGAAGGTACATCAAGAATATAATTGAACTGATGCTGAGTGAAATGAGCAGAACCAGGATAACATCGTACACAGCAATGATCAACTATGATAGGCTTAGCTCTTCTCAGCAAACAATGATCCAAGCCAATTCCAAAAGACTCATGGTGGAACATGCTATCCACATCCAGAAAAAGAATTATGGAGTCTGAATGCAGATTCGAGAATGATATTTTCCCTTTTTTGTGTGTTTTATTTATCACGGTTTTTCCATTTTGTTCTGATTCTTCTTTCACAATTTTAATAAAGTGGAAATATGTTTAACATGATTGTACATGTGTAACCTATATCAGATTGCTTGCTGTTTGAGAAGGGGGGAAAAGAGGGAGAGAGAAAAATTTGGAGCTCAAAGTACTACAAAAGTGAATGTTGAAAACTACCTACACATGTAATTAGAAAAAAAAAATTATTAAGTTTAAAAAACAGTGTGATTGAGGCCTGATACTGGCATGTCCCCAGTCTAATTCTCCATGTTTAATCATGACTGCTTCCAATACTAGGTACCTGTAAAGCTGATTTTTAAAGATCTTTTGGAGTTAATAAATCCACAATTTTTTATAAAGTTGAAATCACAAAAATAATAAAATATATTTACTAAGCAATAAGGATGAAGGAATAGCCTTACACTAGGCAAATAGAGAAGAAAGAACTAAGACCAAATGAGAAAATTAAAAGGAAATCAATTTTAGCTCAGTAAAAAGAACCACTTTCTGTACATTACAATTGTTCAAAATTAGATTGAGCTGACTTAGAAAGGAATGAGCTCTTCACCAATTGAGGTGTTAAAGAAGCTAAATGATCATTCTCAGAATGCTGTTTTCCCTTTGCTATAGCAGAACATTAAACACTTGAAAAAGTCTTGAGCAAGACACTCCAGGGAAACACAGAGACTAAATATGTACCCAAGGGCATGAGTTAGCTATTGAGACTTGGGAATAGGCCAAAGTGTTCATTGAGCTTGGCACACCAATCGGAATTGACTGAGTGGACTATAACTGAGTGAACATATGCTGGCTTTTCACCCTGCTTCATGTGGTACATGAGCACTGGGGAATCCCCTCAGCTCCAAATTGGGGTGAGTTCATTTGGGCTATAGTAGAAAAGAAAAAGAAGGCTAGGGGAGGGGGAAGATTAAACCTATGGGAAAACCTTTTTAATTTTTCTTTTTAGTAGAACTTTTTAAACCTTTTGAAATATTGGAGAAACTAAACACCAAGGTTACCAAAGGCTAGTTAAATTGAGGTGTTATTAATGCTTCACTCTTTAAAAATCTAAAGAAGTGAGAAAGTTTTCCACCAGAGTCACTTATGGGATGAATGGCTGAGAAACGCTGAAAAGTCTCATTCTCAATGGTATATCTCAGAAAGGGAAATCATCTCCCATTTCATCTTGGCATTTAGGTACCTTTGTCTGCTGGGCACACAGATTAGGGGCACAATTTGGTTATTGCGATCAACTCTAGACAGGTCATTCTCTGGGCAAGGAGAGGAATCATGTGGTATGTGTGCTTTTGTTTGTTTTTACAAGAGTAAATGTGTTTCACGGAATGTTTGTGCACATGTTTGTGTGTATGTGAGAGTGTGCTTGTGTATATATTTAAGGATTTGTTTGAAAGCCTGATCGTTGAGCATATAGGATCATAAAATGATAAGGTAATAGATTCAGAGCTGGAACAGATCTTGAAAGTCAACTAGTTCATTCTTCTCATTCTATAGATGTTTCAATTGATGCCAGAGAAATTATGACTTTGCCCAAGTTGACACGGGTAGCAAGTGGAAGAACTAGGCGATAAACTCAGATTCTCTGCTCTGTCTGAAGACATGGACTTAGAACAGCCTCATAACTACATAAGGTTTCAAAAATATTTGTAAACCATTGCCATCTTGGGCTCTTTATACAGAAGAAGGTTGTAGATCCTTATCTGCCTGATCCCTTAAGCAATCTCAGTTATATATGGCCAAAAATTATGTCTTATCAAAATTCTATATCTTCCCATAGTCTTGCCTGTTATAGGGTTTTGGACTGAGCAAATGCTTAGTAACATTTTTTGAATGAATAAATACAAGAATGAATGCATGTTCAATCTGTTTCTATATGTTTAAGTATGTGTGTGTATATGCATATATGTATATATATGTATATGTATACACACACACACACACATACATACAGAGAGAGAGAGAGAGAGAGAGGTATGTTTATGTGTGAGTTTAGTTACATATGCCCACCAGTACATGCATCTGTGTATGCCATGGAGCATAAAATAAAAGTTGTAGTAGATGAACTTCAGACTCAGAGATTCCATGAGCCCATGATTTAAAAAAAATAATCATACATATATATGCAACTTTTATGCATATGTGGTTGCTATGTCACCACATATGTGAACTTTCCCTTTTCATGTTCATGAGAGGATCAGAGAGACAGCTAGGTTGTGTAGTGGATAGAACACTGTCCCTGAAGTCAAAAGGAAAAAAAAAATAAGCAAATCAGACATTTTCTTTTCACATTTACCAGTGTTCTTATCCTCAAAAGGGCCTCTAGCAGACAGAAGGGAGTAGTAAAAACTTTTGACTTTCTGGATATCCCAGGTCTGTAGGGAACTAAGAACTCTACTCCCTCTGGCCACAGACTTGTACTTACTTACTCCCTCCACCTTTCACTAGAGACTTGTAGTAAAATCACCCAGAGGGGACAGTATATCTTCAAATACTTTAGTAAAAAAAATTAAATCCCACTTATATTCTTTCTAACTGGAATTTCCGAATAAGTTAACAGAGGAAGACAGACACAACTCTGGTTATCAGTGGTGAAGAATCAATCTGAAATTTTAATTCTTGATTATAAAAATAAATTAATTGAATAATTTAATTGAGTTTCACTAAGGTCCTCTTATGATGTCTCCTTATCACATGACAATAGTTTTGTTCTCATAGGTAACACCTGGCTATAAAGGATTCTAATGCCCATCATAGGCATGTGTTATTTGCTAGAGGATGATTCTGACTAAGGTTAGAGAGTGTCATCACCAGGAAATTATTCATTAGATGATGAAGATTTTTGATCACACAACTCATGAAGTTCACCTACTAAGCTGCAGAAGTGTTTTAATCTGACTTCCTGAATAGGGAACCCATGCCAAGAAAATCATGGATCCTTGTGTCTATTGAATTAAATCAACAATAAACCTTAGATCCATATGTTTCATAGTAGGGGACTTGATATAAAGGCATGAACAGCAAAGAATGACCAAGGAAATAGAATGATTTTGTTACTGATATATACTTTTAGCTGGGAAGTTAGAAAATAGTCTGTGAAGAGGGTGAATAACTCAATGAATCTTAAGCTGCTGTAGGGAAAACACAGCTTCCAAGAATAAGGTGATATTACATTGGAACCATTCAGTTCAAATATGCACCATTGTGACTAGATTTGAACATCACACTTTAGAAGGGACTGGTTAAGCTGAACAGCATCTGGAGGATTACAAGCAGAAAGAAGGGCCTGGATCCTATACTCTTGTGATCCCCTGGAAATTTTCATGTTGATTAATAATGTCCACTTGGGAAATGCACAAATACAAAGATGTGTTATAAAGCAAAATAATTTGTAACCTCACCCTTTAAATCTTAGATATTCTAGCCTCCTTACTATCCAAATTGCCTCTTTGACCAGTTTGTTTATTATTGCATGGGTAACATTTGGTTGATTTCACTCAAGTGATGGAATGAAATTTCCCCTTCAAAAAGATGACATGAATGTGAAAGGGATAGTCAATTCATTGCACCAAAAATTTAAGATCTGAAAATAACAGGTAGAGAAAAATGTGCCAAATCTAAAGGGATAGAATTTAGTAACGATGCTTGTAAGTCTTCCTGTGGCGTACATTTTCTCAGTGAGTGTTGTGATACCAATTAGAAATTAAATTTCTAATTTAATTCCTTCAAATTCTGAGATGTATTAAAAGATGATTGCTATTTTCATCCCAATTTTAATTAAAACTAATATGTATCATTAAGAAATCCTAAACAGTTTCACATGTATTACTGCCCCTGGCAATGGTTTGCTCTTCATTTCCTGATCTATACATTGCATATTTTTCAGGTTGTGATTGCAATGATCTTTCTGGAGCATTTAAGCCTTTGGAATTCCTGTTACTGGTGGCCTCCCATGACAGCAGAATGTCTCTCATGAATGATTCACATATCTCCACATCCACATTTTTCCTGGTGGGCATCCCAGGCCTGGAGTACCTACATACTTGGATAGGGATTCCCTTCTGTTCCCTGTATGTGGTGGCTGTGGTGGGGAACATGACAATCCTCTGTGTGGTACGAGTAGAGAGAAGCCTACATGAGCCCATGTTCTTCTTTCTGTGCATGCTTTCTGTCACTGACCTGGTCCTCTCCACCTCCACTCTGCCCCGAATGCTCTGTCTCTTCTGGCTTGATTCACATCAAATTGCTTTTGAAGCCTGTCTAACTCAGATGTTCTTTATCCATAGCTTTACAGCCATGGAATCTGGCTTTTTCTTGGCTATGGCCTTTGACCGTTATGTGGCCATTTGCAACCCACTGCGCCATACTACCATTCTTACTAATGCCTGGATAGCCAAGATTGGAGGGGCTGTGGTGCTTCGGGGTGTGGCCTTCTCTCCACACCCTATCTTGCTCAAACAATTGCCATACTGTCGGACTCGCATTATAGCCCATACCTACTGTGAATTTATGGCAGTGGTGAAATTGGCATGTGTAGACACAGGTTCCACAAAGCGTTATAGTTTAAGTGTGGCCTCTGTAATTGGCTCCTGTGATGGCTTCTTCATTGTTATCTCCTATGTCTTGATTCTCCATGCTGTTTTTCAACTCCCATCCCGTGAGGCTAGCCTTAAGGCATTAGGGACATGTGGCTCCCATGTCTGTGTGATCCTTGTCTTCTACTCTACAGCTGTTTTCACATTTCTCACCCACCGCTTTGGCCACAATGTACCACCTCAGGTCCACATTTTCATTGCCAACATGTACTTGTTGGTTCCTCCCTTTCTCAATCCCATTGTATATGGGGTCAGGACCAAAAAATTCCAGGACTATGTTCTTGGGGCATTGAAGGTCAAGTTTGTCTGATTGTGATAGAGGTATCCACAGACATGGTAATAGATACAGCTAAAACATAGAGTTGAGGCAATTCCAAAGAGCCCATGTCTAATTTATACTTGGGGATCCTTGATTTCTTGTCAGCATTTCATGCCATTTTACCAGCTACTATAATGACACAAAAGGAAATTAATCACCTACTTTTTAACAAGTTTTATACCATTTCTTGAGGAATCTTGAAGCAACACTTCTAATAAAGGGAAGAATAGATGGGTAAAAAGCATTCCTCCTCTTCCTGCTATTCTACCTCTAGATGATTCTTCCTCATTTACTACCCTTCCCCAGGGAATGACTTATAGGAGGAGAGTAGCAAAAAGGATATTATAAAGCCAATGGTCCTGTATGATTATCTTTAAACAGAATAAGTTTCTGAATAACCAATGATGGACCATGAAGAGCTATATCTTGTGTCTTTAATTCTGTGTGTCAAGAGCAAGAGAAATAGTAATGGCATCACTACCCTTTGAGAATTACAAATGCATGGAACATTATGTACCAATATGGACAATCATAGGTAGACATACAGAATGAAGTATTAAATAAAGACTCCATTAGAAGGAACAATGAATCAAGAATTTATTCAGTGAAATAGGCATTGCTTTTAAGGACTTTATATACCATCAGATAAGACAACATGCATGGTAAATACATGTGTTTTATGCACATACATGTGTATTCCACACATGTATTTTATGTTTCCCTGTTTTATATATATATGTATATATATACATACATATATATATATATACTATGTATATATGCATATATACATATATTATTTTAAAACACAAAATAAATACATTGTGATGAAAAGACAATAGCATTTGGGCTATTTACCTGTTTTTTCTTATTTTTTTCTTTGTCACAAGGGAAATGCAATTAGGAATATGGAAGCTAATCTCATTAAAAGACTGTTACAAAACATATTTTACATAGATATAAGGAAACAAGAGTAATATATGTAGAAATTAATTCACTTTTCTCAAATTAGATTCTTACCAAGTATGTAAATATTATTCAAATTTAGTAAAAACAATTAGGATAATTAATAATATAAATAGCAATTATTATGTAAAGTCACAAGGTTATTTTAATAGATGCAGTGAAAGTCACAGAAAAAGACACAAGAGTTATTTATGGTAAAAGATTAAAATTGTATAGACATAGAAGGAACTCTAACATGATAAAAAACTTAAATCAAGAAAAAAACAATGAAATTAAGAAAAGCTTGTAGTTATCCATATGAACAAGGTAGCAAAGATGTTGTCTCCCCCCTTTTGTTCGATATAATGTTAGTAACATTGGTGATTGCAACAACATGAGAGAAAAAAAGTAAAGTCATAACATCAGCAAAAAAAGCAGATTTTTTAATATAAATTTATTTATTTCCAGTTTTCAACATTCACTTCCACAAGTTTCTGAGTTCCAAATTTTCACCCCATCTGACCCCTCCCCTCACCCCAAGATGGCATGCATTCTAAATATCACTTCCCTTGGTCTATCCTCTCTTCTATCTCTCCCCCCTTCTCCTATCCCCTTCCCCTTCTGTTTTCCTGTAGGGCAGGATAGACTTCTGTACCCCATTTCCAGTATTTCTTATTTCCCAGTAGCATGTGAAAACATGCTTTTTAAACATATGTTTTTGAAACTTTAGGTTTCAAATTTTCTCTCTTCCTCCCTCCCCACCTACCCTCATTGAAAAGGCAAGCAACTCAACATAGGTTATACATGTGCAGTTCTGCAAAACACTTCCATAGTAGACATGTTGTGAAAAACTAACTCTATTTCCCTTAATCCTATCCTGCCCTCCCATTTATTCTATTCTTTCTTTTGACCATGTCCCTTCTCAAAAATATTTACTTCAGATTACTCCCTTTCCCAGTCTGCCCTCCTCTGTCTCATCCCCCTGCTCTCTTGTCCCCTTCTCCCCCTGTTTTCCTGTAGGGTAAGATAGATTTCCATACCCAACTGAATGTGTATGTTATTCCCTCCTTAATCCAAATCCTATGAGAATAAGATTCACTCATTCTCTCTCACCTTCCCCCATTTCCCCTCCACTGTGAGATACTTTTCTTTTGGTTTTTTTGTGAGATAATTTACTCCATTCTACCTCTCCCTTTCTTCTTCTCCAAGTATCATCCTCTCTCATCGCTTAATTTATTCTCCAGGTATGACCCCTTAATCTTCAACTCATGTGCCCTCTATCTGTCTATCTATATATACATAGATATAATTTTTTCCTCCAACTAAGCTAATACTGACAAAAGTCTCATGAGTTATAAATATCATCTTTCCATGCAGGAATGTAAACAGTTCAATCTTAATAAGTCTCTTATGATTTCTCTTTCCTGTTTACCTCTTCATGTTCCACTTGAGTCCTGTATTTGAAAGTCAAATTTTCTATTCAGCTCTGGTCTTTTCATCAAGAATGCTTGAAAGTCCTCTATTTCACTGAATGACCATTTTTTTCCCTGAAGGATTATACTCAGTTTTGCTGGGTAGGTGATTCTTGGTTGTAATCCTATCTCCTTTGCCCTCTGGAATATTATATTCCATGCTGTGCGGTCCTTTAATGTAGAAGCTGCTAAATCTTGTGTTATCCTGATTGTCTTTCCACAGTACTTGAATTGTTTCCTTCTGGCAGCTTGTAATATTTGCTCCTTGACCTGGAGTCAAGGAGAATTTGGATTTTGGCTATAATATTCCTAGGAGTTTTCCTTTGCAGATCTCTTTCAGGGGGAGATCTGTGGATTCTTTCAATTTCTATTTTGCCCTCTGTTTCTAATATATCAGGGCAGTTTTCCTTGATAATTTCTTGAACGATGATGTCTAGGCTCTTTTTTGATCATGGCTTTCAGATAGTCCAATGATTTTCAAATTCTCTCTCCTGGATCTATTTTCTAGGTCAGTTGTTTTTCAAATGAGATATTTCACATTGTTCTCTAATTTTTCATTCTTTTAGATTTGTTTTACAGTGCCTTGATTTCTCATAAAGTCACTATGTTCCAATTGCTCTATTATAATTTTTAAGGAAGTATTTTCATCATTAAGATTTTGGACTTCCTTTTCCATTTGGCCAATTTTTCTTTTTAGGGCATTTTTCTCCTCATTGGCTTTTTGGACCTCTTTTGCCATTTGGGTTAGGCTATTTTTTAAGGCGCTATTTTCTTCAGTATTTTGGGGGGTCTCCTTTAGCAAGTTGTTGACTTGTTTTTATGATTTTCTTGCATCACTCTCATTTCTCTTCCCAGTTTCCCCTCTACTTCCCTTACTTGCTTCTCAAAATCCCTTTTGAGCTCTTCCAAGGCCTGGGACTCATTCACCTTTTTCTTGGAGGCTTTGGATGTAGGAGCTTTGACTTTGTTGTTTCCTTCTGGTTGTATATTTTGATCTTCTTTTTCACCAAAGTAAGATAATATAGCCTGACTTTTTTGCACTGCTTGTTCATGATCCCAGCCAATTACTTCAGTTTTAAACTCTTTGTCAAGGTAAGAGTCTTCTTCCAATGTGGAGAATGTATTGTCCCAAGCTACCGGGGTTTGTATAGCTGTTTTCAGAGATACTTGTAGGGACCTGTAAATTTTCAGTTCTTCCAAGGTGGTATGATAAGGGGTGAGATGTTTACTGTGTTCCTGGCCTGTGACCACAAGTATTCTTTTCTGTCCTGTAACTGTGAGGAGGGTTTCCTCTCTATAGCTACTATAAGCTCCACCATGCCAGGGCTCCTCCTCACCCCAGGACCGCCTCCCAGAATTGTGACCCAGATCCAAACACGGGCAAAGCAATAGATTCCTGCCTTAGCACTGACAAAGATATCCCTGTAATCCCTCTCTGATCAGCCACTGGATTCCCCCTCAGTTTGTGGGCTGAAAGCTCAGGAAGCAGCTGCCCACCCCTGGGGCACGCTCTTGGGGAATAGAGCTGAGACCCCACCTTCCTCTCTCAGCACCGCAGAAATAGACTTTTCCCACTGACCTTCTAAGTTGTCTTTGGCATTCTTGGATTGAGGAGTCTTGAAACCTCCACAGCTGCCGGTGATTCAGTCCTCTGAGGCCTGCTCCAGGTTCCTGAGGCCTGCGCGCCCATGCCAGACTGCACTCTTCTCCCAGCCCAGTGAGATATACCTTTCTGATCAATCATGCAGGTTGTCTTAGGCTGGCAATTTGTTTCACTCTTTTTGTGGGTTCTGCTGCTTCAGAATTTGTTTGCTGCCATTTTTTATGAGTATTTGAAGGGGTTTGGAGGAGAGCTCAAGCAAGTCACTGCTTTCACTCCACCATCTTGTCTCTGCCTCAAAAAAGCAGATTAAAATATTGTTATTTATAGGTGACATAACAGAGTATTTATAGAACAGAAGAGAATCAGCAAATAAACAATTTGGGATGATTAATTACTTAAGTAATATATCAGAATAAAAAAATCCCCCAAAATAATCATTCTCTATATATTACTAAAACTATGAAAATATAACAACATTTTAAATTTTTACAAAATATACAAAACATCTAGGAATTAACATATTGAGATACATAAAAGATTTATATGATGAAAACCCAAAAATTATCTTCAATGTACCAGAAATAATCATTAGAGAGAAATTCATTGTTCAGTATTTAGCTATGCCACTAGAATGAAAATAATGATATCATATAAATTGATTTTCAGATATGAAAAAGAATAGCAGACATAATGCTATATAAAGGTATTTAACAAAAAGATTTCATTTCTTAGTTAATACATTTGGAAGAACAAAACATCTATAATTGCAGGCATAATAAGAAAAAAAAATAGCCATAAAGGGAATACAGTTTAGCAGATTTTAAGTTATACTGCATAACAGTAGTTAAAAACGTTTGCTACCAGCTAAAAAGGAAAGAAAAATGAAACAAACCATTAGAATAGAAACAACCACCAAGTCCAAAGAAACTAACAAACAAGAAAAAAAACCAAAATATTATCTCACTGTTATG